GGCCGTTCGCGTTTTTTGCTGCTGCGCGACCGGAACGGGCGGAAAATTGGTCTAGCATGCCCAGAATTGAGTAGTGATGTAGGGGTAGAGTTTTGTCCGGCACGCCTGGCCAGGGTTTGACTCGGGTTCTGGGTTGTTAGCGGGGGGGATTCTCGATTCAGCTTCAGCTAATGGTTTAAAAACCGAAACGAAAACTATTTTTGTCTTGTTTTAATGGCTTCTGACTACTAAAAAGTTCTACAAAGACTTTTGAACTTGGAAATATTTGAATTTGTGCCAATTTTTGATAAATTTGTCCAAAAAACCAACATTTTTCGGAAATTTAATAATTTTCTATGAACTTTTATGCCCGAAAAGAGCGTTAAATGCTATTAAAAATATTTATAATTCACCATAGAGCGTTAGACGCCTTTCTGGTGGAATAATTGGTTTTAAAAGCTTTACTCCATGTTAAAAAAATAGAATTTAAAAGCCGTGTAGTGCTTCAGATTCAAGTTTTTCGTTTTCTCTTTTTGCCGTCTTTAAGGCGCCTTTTTTAAAGGATTTTAGTTAAACTTTCAACTTTACGATAATTTCTAGATGCCGGCAACCGGCAACCACCAGTTGCTGCCGGCCAGCGAGGAGGCGGCAAAGGCCGTCGAGGAGGTAAATTTTTACAAATTACAAAGATGTTTTCAAAATATAGCTTTTTCAAAACTTAATTAATTTAGTGTAAAGTAGTTAATGAAAATGTAGCCATTATGTCATTTTAGAATGGCGACATTGGCCAGGGCGACGAGGAGCGCGGCCAGTGGACGGGACGCTTCGACTTTTTGATGAGTATGGTTGCGTACGCCGTTGGACTTGGTATGTCGAATTTAAAAATATGTTTAAAAGGTTTAAGTTTCCTTTATAACAGGATTTTTCAGGAAATGTCTGGCGTTTCCCCTACCTCTGCTACAAAAATGGTGGGGGCTCGTTCCTGGTGGCCTACTCGGTGTTCTTCACCCTCGCCGCCGTCCCAATCTTCATCATGGAGGTACCTTACTTTTCCATTATTAGAATTGTCGGTGCTTTTCCAATCACGGCTGGGGGGGGGGGGCGAAAATTATCAAATTGGTGCTTGAGTAGGGATGATACTTTTTTTCTTATAGATCCAGGCTGGCTTAGTAATAAAATGTAAAATGTTTTTATACTGTTTTTAGTAAGTTTCAGCTAAATTTAAGGTAGAAATAGTTCAAAAAAAAGTTTGGAAAGTTTTTGGATAAGGCGAGATTTTGCTCATTTTGGGTATAAAAAATCAATTGTATCAAATTATGAACTTTTCTAGGTGTCCATCGGCCAGTACCTGCAGCGTGGCGCCATGGAGATGTGGAACATGTGCCCGCTTTTTAAAGGTACAACTATACTTTAACGCTTCAAATTTTTATTTCAAAAAATACGAAAAAATCTTGATTTTTCACCCAAGATCTCGGATTTTTTAAAAATTTTACTGGTTTTGGATAGTTTTTCGACCTGAAATTACATTATGTTTTACTAGAATCGCTATTAAAATCTTTACGATTACGCTATATTTTATTTTCACGGCGACAAATTCAGAGAAAGTCGAGAAAAATTGCGACAAAAGCATCGGATTTTCGAGGCTACAATTTTCGTTATTCTGATTTTCGAGCGTTCGAAAATTCACGATCCCAATTTTCAAAACTCCGAAAATTACCTTTTCAAGGCGTGGGCATCGGCAACATTGTCATCTCGTTCATGTGCATCTGGTACTTTTGCGTGATTTGCGCGTGGGCCATGTACTACATGATCGCGTCGTTCAACTCCACCTTCCCGTGGGAGACGTGCGACAATTGGTGGTACGTTTTGGGCACGTCTTGCAGCTCCGTTTTATCAGGAACGACGCGTCGTGCGTGACCGGCAAGGAGCACACCAAGATGTTGGAGGCGATCAAGGCGCACACAAATCACACGCAGACCTCCGTTGAACAGTACTGGGAGTGAGTAAACGCTAATTTTGGGGCTTTTGCAGTATCGGAGGGGAGATAAATTTTTGTGTAAAAGTGTAAAAATCATCTTTTTAGACGACGCGTCCTGATGGTGACCGATTCGATCGAGGATTTTGGTGGAATCCAGTGGGAATTGCTAGGTAAAAGACTAAAATTTCTTTTAAAAAATAACCTCGAAATTTTAGGGCTGATGGCAGTCTCATGGGTGATCGTCTACTTTGCCTTGTGGAAGGGTATCACTAATGCCCGGAAAGTGAGTTTTATTTTCTTAAATTTTCGATTTTTTTGCAAAATTGTTTTAACTTTTTTAAGGAGTTTGTACGTGAGATTTGACCATAAGCATACTCTTACATTTCGAAATTTTTCCAGTTTGTATACTTCTGCGCCCTGTTCCCCTACGTGTTGATCGTCGTCCTGTTGCTGCGCGGGTTGACACTCCCCGGTGCCGCCAAAGGAATCTCCTACTACCTCACCCCGAACGCCACCAAGTTGATGGAAGCTACAGGTTTTTACTGAAATTTAGAGTTTTATTAAGGTCAATTTTTAGTGTGGAAAGACGCCGGCACGCAAGTGTTCTACTCTTACGGTGTCGGCTTCGGTACACTGATCGCCCTCGGCTCGCACAACAAGTTCAGCCACAACTGCTTCAGGTAATAAAACCAATCTCCCTGTTTATACATTTTTTATATACAATTTTACGCCGTTTTTAAGTATAACAAGCTAATAAAAACATTAAAAATGCAATTAATGTAAAATTTTTCCTGAAAAATGTATGAAAACCGTCAAAAATTGAATGTTTAAATTTTGTAAGAATGTTTTTATGACTTTTTCGAAATTCAGCGACTCACAGAATTTTACGAATGTCCGATAAATGCAAAAAGTTGATTACGTAGGCATATTGTAGATGACTTTTCCACTCCCGCTTAAATAGCCCTTCCGCCCCCCCCCCCCCGCTAATAGTCAAGTCCGAAAAACTCAGCCCTGATTTTCCCATTTCCAGGGACGCGATCATGATGTGCTTCATCAACGGCGGCACCTCTATCCTAGCCTCGACGGCCATCTTCTCCATTCTCGGCTTCATGAGCGAGGCGTCGGGCAAAGATATTGCGGATATTGTCAAGCCCGGTAGCCCAAGTTTTTCGCATTGAAAAATACTGCTTCAGGTGTGGGGCTGGCCTTTCTGGCGTACCCAGAAATGGCGACAAATCTGCCGATGAAGCAGCTGTGGGCCTTCCTCTTCTTCCTGATGATCACGATTTTGGGGTTGGACAGCCAGGTCGGTAGTCAGAACAAAACAGTTGATGAAAAAAAAAGAAAAAGTTATACTTTTTGATACAAAATCTTCAAAAAATGTCGAATTTTTGGAAATTATAAAGACGTTTTTTAGCCTGTACGTAATCTTTATAACGTTTTAGTAAAAGTAGGCATATAAAAAAATTGAGAAAAATTAATAATTGCCAGAATTTAGGTGTTTTGATAAATACATATGAAAAATGGTCAAAAAGCGCAATTTTCTAATTTAAAAAAGGTTTTCATTAGTACTCGAAACTTAATAAAACAATGACACAAGTATTTCATTTTTATGATCGCTCGAGAAAGCAAGTTACCCCCCCTAAAGAACTGGAACCTAATTTTTTTCAGGTCTGCATGATGGAAGGGTTGTATACAGCTTTGGAAGACGCATTCCCCACCCAGCTTCGAAAGCACAAGCGGGTGGCCCTGTTATGCACATGTTTTGGCTTCTTCATCCTCGGAATCCCGATGGTCACCCATGTGAGTTACTCGATTTTGAAACTTTATATTGATTTTTCTTTTTGGAAATGATGTTTCCAGGGCGGCTCTCACTGGCTGACGCTGATCGACGCGTACGGCGCTTCGGGGTACGCCTTGCTGACGGTCGTCTTCTTTGAAGTCGTCGGCCTGTCCTGGGGCTTCGGTAAGCAGCAGAAATTTTGAAAAAAAACAACAAATCAGGAGCCGATCGTGTCCGGGCCGCCATCAAGGAGATGATCGGGATCCAGGTTCCGCTCGTGTTCAAGATCCTCTGGAAGTACCTGTCCCCGTTGACCGCCTTCGTAAGTGAAAATATGTAAAGAATCAACTTAGAAATTTTCTAGTCAATTTTAAACCGCGTAAAAGCGGAATAGTAAGTGTAAATTATCAAACAGTTAACTAAAAATTTTTAAAGCTATGTTTAAGATCTCTACAGTTTTAACAATAAATTTTTGCAGTTGTTGTTCTGGTTCTGCGTCTACTACTACGAGCCCCTCAACTACCCCGACCAGCGCCCGTATCCGCTCTGGGCTAATGTGATTGGTAGGAAACCGAACCGGGAACTAGAAAAGACCGCAATCCCTCCAGGCTTTATGTTGTCGTCGTGCTCGATGGTGGTCATCCCCGGGTGGGCCATCTACTACCTCTTCACGCACAACAAGCATCTCCGTCTCAGCGAGGTCAGTTTTCGTACCATCCAAAAACCTAGTTCTATCACAGCGCTTCTGGCGATCGGTGCGCGTGCCCGAGAGTGCGGTGCAGGCCGGGGGCAAGAAAAGCATCCAGGAGCTGAAACCTTTGGCTCTCTAATTCCGCATAAGTTATCATCCCCCAACTCGCCCGGTATTCGCCTTTCACTTATGTGCTTTTAATTCTGGGCTATGGGTGGGGAGAAGCCAATGAAAATGAAAACTGGAAATTACAACGACTGGCTCCTCCCCACCCAAAGCCCCCAACCAAGTGCACAATATCGAATATCCAAACACGAGGACCAAACTTTTGATGTGACCCCCCCCTTCCAATTTCATAACTCATGAACGAATGATCTTCAATCCGTCTCTCTCTCTCCGTGCAGGAATCATTTTTTGCGAAATTCCCCCCGATGCATTGTCCGATATTTAGCCGTGGATTAACCCCAACTTTATTTTTTTTAGAATTTTTATATCGATAAACCGGTTCAATGAGATGCGATCACACAAAGCAAAACGACGTAGAACATAACAAAACCCGTCAGCGCCTAGCTCTCGTGCTTCTGGAGAGTGAAGAAGAGGACCTCCTTGTTGCCTTGCTTCTGCTTGAATTGGATCGGTTGGATGTTCTGGAAAAGGGGGTTGGAGGTGGCTTGGAGATGAGGCTTACCTTCAGATATTTGGCAAGCAGGTTGACGATGTCCTGCTTGGGCATGTCGCCGCACTTGTTCTTGAACTTGCTCACCAGATCCTAAATTGGACAATAAATTTTGTAAGACACCAGTACCTTGGTGGTGTGCGGATTGCGCAACAGGTATTTGCGGACCGTCGCCTCGTTTAGGCCGTCGCTTTGATCCCGCGAAGCTCCAGCCGGTCGTGGAGTGCTGTAGAAAAAAAGCCATTAAATCCTAATTAAAATACGACGCTAAAGGCTAAGAAATATCGGCTCAGTAAAATATAAAAATAAGCTAATAGAACCAAATTCATACCCGTCATCGCCTTCAAGCTTCGTGCGCTTGGCTTCTACCCCGGCTACGGCGTCTTCGATTGCCCGCTTCTTAGCCGTTGCGTGGTCCACTGGTTTTCCGCTCGAGCTGGTGCTAGCGGCCAGATTTTTCTTCTAAAATTAAAATAGGGATTCTCGAAGACAAAAAAATTACCGGAAGCAATAATATCGACTTCGTCATCTCACCGTCTTCATCAAGGTCACTATCCGAGGAATCTATGGCAAATTGGCTGGGCTCTTGAAATACCAACCATCTTTATCAGCTTGCGCTTTGCTTCGGAAATCGTTATTCTTGTTCTTCTCCGCTAAAAAGTATTAAATGATATTCGGCTTTGCACCAAACCCTCCTGCTCCTCCTCGTCTTCCTCTCTCTCGTCCTCGCTCGAGCCGAGCTTCCGCAAGCCGTCCTCGTCGTCAACGCCGACCATTGCCTTCTCGATCTTTTCCTCCATTGGCACGTTATCGCGACTAAGATATGAAGACCAATTGTATGCGTAAAAGGAAGCTTACTCAGAATCAGAGCCCGAGTCCGACATATAGTCAACTTCTTGGCCGTCTTCCTCTCCGTCTTCGGATTCGTATTTAGCCACATCGTCGCTCTCCTTGACGCGGACCCGTTTGTCCTTCTTCTCGGTCTCTGCTCCCTTCTTCTTCTTGTTCTTGGTCCCCTTGCTGCGAGACCGCTCCCCATCTTCGTCCTCTTCGTCCGAGGCATCGGTGTCCGAGAAGTTGTCTTTGATTTTCTAAAGATAAATATTCGATTTCAATTCATCAAAACTCACCAATCTCGATCCTTTCTCCAACTGTTCCCCTTCGTCAGCGTCACCCATCTTCTGGATTTGGGCCTTCAAAGCAAATTGGTTCATGACCTTCGCTCGCCTAAACCTTTTTTTGAGCGTAACTAGACTCTCAACATACTGCAAAAACTGCTCCTCGGCCTGGTCAATATCTAGCACTTTATGTGTGATGGCCGGGAGGAATTTTTGCCAATCGTCAACCTAGAAGTGATAAATAACCACACAATATAGAAATACAAACCTTATAAGCTAGAAATTCGTTGCTATCCTTGAGAAAGACCCAGTAGTCAGCATGCTCGCCGGCGCCGCCCTCGCGCATCGACTTGAAGCGCCGAACGCGTCCATCTAAAGATCAAAATGTTCAACATCTAGGCCAATTCCCAATGTCAAAAAAATCACAAACCTGCTTCGGAAACTGTTAGTTTCCAGGGCTGGTTGTCGAGCTGGTACGTTCGAGCCTGTCGGCCGTATTTCTTACGCCGTGCCTCTTCGCGGGCAGCTTTTCCGTATTCGGAGCCCTCACCGTAGTCCTAAAAGCACAGGGTATATCTGTAGGTAGTCATTCCGAAGCGTACCTGGACAGGGGCATTTGCCATGACTGTACTACGATTGTCCTCGCGCTCGAGCAGCACCTAAACAATTCGTTGACTTGATTACCTAATTAAACTACCTCTCCGCAATCAGCTGAAGCCCATGATGACGTATCCACGTTCAGGTTGCCATTGAATTTCAAAACGCTGAACCGCTTGTCCTCGTTGATCCTAAATTCATAACCTTCCAAAAAAGCCTGATACTTACTTCGGCACCTTTATGCTTAATTCCGAGCGTGAGCCTGATGCCATGTTCAAGCTAAAGTTAAAAATAACTTTATTTGCGCCGCTCAAAATTAAAATAACCACGATTAAGATAAATCGGTGATGTTGATAAGGAAGATATAGAGCGCAAAAAATTTATTAACCGAAACAAAACAACGAAAACGATATATCACTAACCTAGAACCAAAAAAATGCCTAAAAAGAAAACATGCTCTTCTTTTTCTGGGCGGCTTCGTAGCCGAGCACCTTGAGCTTGATGACGTTGGCAATTTCTTCGGCTTTCCGGTTCTGCCCGTAGTAGTCGTGGAAATTGCCCTCCGGATCAATGAGATACATAATAACCTGAAAAGGCAATTGCGTAAATAACAAGCTACCAACCGTATGATCTACGATGTAGTCGTCGTCGGCAGTTTTCGGACCCTGGCTATGATAGACTCGGAAGGTCTTCGCCACTTTTCCCACCTAAAATTCAAGAATTGTGCTGATGAGACGGAAATCACCAACCTGCTCGGCGTTTCCAGTAAATCCGAGTAATTTTGGGGAGAACTCGGAGCAATATTGCTTGACCCTGGCGAGTGTGTCCCTAGCTGGATCCACAGAAATGAATAACGGCTTTACAGGCTGCTTCTGCGTCGGGTCAGCCTCCAGAATATCCACGACCTGAATTGACGATACCAGAAAAAATTAGTTGCCACTCACTTTGACCATTTTCTCGATCTCATCTGGGCAAATATCCGGGCAATTCGTAAAGCCGAAATAAAGGAGCAGCCAATTGCCCTTCAACTGCTCCGATCCCTCTAAACACACGATTTCATACAGATCGCAGACCAGACGATACCTAATTTTCCATCCATATTTACTAGTTCCCATTCTCCGCCAATTTTTGCCTTCCCCGCCACCATTTTCTGATGCTTCTCCCGCTCGTCTAATCTCTAAAAAAACTGATCAGATAATAGTCACTCAACTCACAATCTTTTTAACATATAGCAAAGCAGCTAGACATGTCCCTCCAATGACGAACGTCGCCGCCGCAACCTTCCAGTTGAAAATCACGCTCCGCCTGTGGGTTTCCCTCTAAAAAGATTTTATACATGAAAGACAACCTAACCGCACGATCCTGTCGGAAGTTCATGTAGGTCTTCCCAACGTCTTCTGTACTGTCGGTGGCCTTGTCGAAGTCCTGCTTTAGGCGCTTATTTATTTCTTCAAGCTCCTTCTCGAGACCATCCTCCGGCTTCTTCGACGAACTTGGACGTAAGCCCACAAGGAGCCGGTGACGTGATCGTAGTAGACGTAGAGCAATCATTTTCTGAAAAAATCGTTGTTATTGTCATGAAATTTTCAAAAACAAAAAAAGCAGCCTCTGAAAGCAAGGCGAAATGGCCAGTTCTTGATGTCTTTCTACCATCCTTGGCAAACTAATACTTTGACCAGGCCCAGGTTCTCCATAATTCGCCCATCTTTTGCGAGAAGCCTCCAAAAAACACGCCTGCGGCCAAATAATTGGGTCCCCGACATGGATTGCATTACGAAAAGAGTCCGTGCGGCTCCCCTGCGCGCCCTCTCGCCATTTGACACACTTGGCCCGCGATAGTGGAACAGCCCATCAGTTCCGACCGGAAATAAACCCAGCTAATGATCGTGTGAATATGACGCCGACCGCTAGGAAGGCTTCACAAATCTTGTATCCAAAAGTCCTTTGCAAAAACTACGCTTTGGCTTCTTTGAAATAATAAAATTTGTTGAAAGTTGGTTTTCAAATTTATTTTTCTTGGTACTTTGCAATTCAGGAAACGAAAACCGTCTAGTGGATTCTCATGGGATCCGCAATGCTGAAAATACCTATATTATATCTACAAACTTTTTGAAAAATTAGCCTTGCGCTTCGTCGAAATCATAAACTTTATTGAAAGTTATTTTTAAAACTTCATTTATTTAGTACTTTGCAATTCAGAACATCAAAAGCCGTCTATTGTATTGCCATGGAACGCTGCTTTTACGGGATTAGGGGTTTTTTCTGATTTCTTTATCGCTAATTTTAGCTTTATTATTTTTTTTGCATAAACATTCTGATTTTCTTTCAGGAACGAGTAGGAACCGGGGCGCACTTCTCCGGCGTCTATCCGCTACAACATTACTTTTCAAAAGCGTACACAATCAAGGACTCCCGGAAAGCGATAACTAGCCTGGTGTTAGAATAGTAAGCCCTCCCAAATTGGCCTCATCAGTTTTTAGCGGGCACATCCCTTTCGTCTCTTCAGTTGTGCTATGCGGGACGGCGAAACGCCAAGAATCTATTATACGGATCCCACTGGTCTATTGCGGTAAATACTCATTAGCTTACAACCAAATCCCATTTAGTGGCCCTTTTGAAAATCATCTTATCTTCAACTGGTATAAACAAGGGTTCTTTTCCGATGGAATGCTATTTCGGCTGGAGAATGATGAGACACAGATTTCACTAGGTATGTGGTTTTCTTCGTTTCAAAGAATTGCTTTAGGTGAACTCACCGATCGTTTCGGAAAGGACAGCCCTTTCGAAAGTTATTGCCGTTGGAGGAGCCAGTTCAACGGGGCTCAAGTCCCAGAAAACTCGAAGTCGTCTAGTCCGTGTAGTGATTGCAAGAAGAACGGCGAGAAATTGGACAGTTTGCTGGCGGCTGTACTTCGGATCCAACAGGCGATCGAGAACAATAGTCAACAGATCGCATCTAATACATCGGTTTGTTCCCGTATTCTAAAAAAAATTGCTCCAAATTAAGGCGATCACCTCGCTGCGTTCTGTATTCGAAGAGTCCCGTCTCAGCGCTTGGAAATGGAACTCGGTCGACGATGGGCCGGAAATAAAAGGTGACTTGCTTTATAATGATATTACGGACCTTTTTTTAGATCCAACCAACAGCATCTTCTCACAACTTTTCATCCCCAAGCCAGTTCTCCCCGAAAAACATGACATTGGAAGGCCGAAGGAAGATCCCGTGAATTTTCTTGGCAGTGAGGTAAGATTTTTGGTTTTTCTTTTTTTTCTCTGAAGTTTTTGTTTGTTTTTTTTACAACGAGTTTGTTGACAGTAAACTTTTAGACAAGCATCCTCAAAAATCTACAACTACAAAGCAGCGATTGGAACGGAGCAGGCGTGCTGCACAAGTCCGAGTCAGCCGGCCAATTGCGACCCATCGAATTCACGGTAAAAGGATAAACTCTAGTTAAAATTTGGCTTAGAAACACGCGGCTGAAGTGCCCATCCTTGAGAAAGCAAAACCAGAACCAGCTGAAAGCAAGCCACGTGCGGTCGCGGCTACCAAGAAGCCGGAGGGCCAGGTAAGGTCTTGGTATACTTTGCTGAAATTGTATTCTAGAAATCCTTCTTGGAGGGAATTCGCCAACGTAACGGGGCGACTGGCGAGACGAATGGGGGTGAAGCGAAAGTTGCGCAGGCTGAGCCAAATCACGAGAATGATTGGGTGAACGCGAACACGAAGGTTGGATACTCTGATATAGTAAATTATTACTTTCAAAGCCGATTTTTTGCGGTCTTTTAAGCGTTTTCGGCTAAGAATCAGCTAATTTAACGTTTTTTAGGGGTTTTTTTACTGAAAAACTGCATAGAATCCTATCAGAACGGTCCATATTTCATTAGGAAGGAGTTTCTTGGCATTGTTTGCTTCACTTTCATTTTTAGCCGACCTTCCACCCATTCCCGAGTACACCCGCTCAACCAGCAGCTCCTGTAGCACCCCCTGCATCTCAGTGGACGACTGTCGGCGGCCAGAATGCCGCCCCGTTGCCCAATAATCAGCCAGTAGCCCCGCCATCCGGTTTTGTACCCAACTGGGCGAACTCTTTTTCGCCACTTCAACAGGTTTCCAATTCCAAGATTTTTTTGACGAATTTCTAGACAACGAATCGCCCTCCTCCCCCAAATCAGGTCACTTCATTTGCTGCCGCCGCCCTCAAGGAGCGAAGGGAAATCAACATTCCGAAGAAGGTATATCTTTTTTTGTGAAAATTCATACTCTTTTTCTAGCCCGAGCCCGAAGAAACCGGACCTCGTCTTGTTCCTATCGGCAAGAAGCCGCCGATTATCATCAGACGTGTACCAAATAATAAATAAAGGTTTTATCGGCGTTGGACCCTCCTACCCTGTTTTAGGTCATGGCGCACCTGCCGCCCAAGTATTGCTCAGCTACAACCATTTTTCCCAGTACTTTTCTTGCCTGTGTATTGTTTTTGCGGATATCAGAAGCACTTCTGGCACAGATTCACTTTTATTGCCTATCGATAAACTTTTATCAGCGATTGCCTTTGAAAATACACGTCGTGAGGCGAACGGTTAGACTGCGGTCGGTATGCTTGTTGGTAGTCTATGGGGTGAATAGGGGCGTTTTTTCAAAGAGATGAATTTCAAAGATATATTTTTTCGAGCTTGCAGCAACCGGCTTCGATGAGCCGTCGCAGTACCGGCGACCAACTCGTCGCCATAGAAGCCGAGATAGAAGAGGCACGCTTCTTTTTCTTACAATTATACAGTCTCCTTTGCAGCTTACAACTCAAATTCGGGGCCTGCAAAGGAAGCGCAATGAATTGCTCGAGACGAAACAGATGGTTGGCTTTTCTGGCTTCTGACTTATGAACTACTTCCTAGCTGGAAAGTCTCATCGATAGCGGGAACTCCGCCGAAGACACCGAGGGCTGGGAGCAGCGAACATTCGGCTGGACAGAATCCATAGATGAAGCTTTGAAAACGGTAGCGAATAAAAGCGTTTATTTTGTAGGCCTTTCGCCTAGAAACATTCCGCCCCCTGCAAAAGGCGACAATCAACTCGGTGTTGAGCGGCAATGACACGCTGTTGTTGATGAGCACCGGCGGCGGGAAGAGTCTGTGCTACCAGTTGCCAGCCGTGATTGCAAAAGGTTAGTTTGTGCAAAATTCCCGTCCCCGGCTCCGCTTCAACGAAAAGCATTAGTGATAACGATAAGTGACGTACAATGTTTGTGCAGGTGGTGCCCCAGGGTCAGCTGTCACACTCGGCGGTTTCACCGAAATTTTTATTTTTAGCACTCCTGATTGGAAGTTTCAGGGACATTATTTGTTTGCATAATTCCGTCTAATCATTTGTAGACGGCGTCTTTTGTCGCTCAACCGTGGCTAATTGCCTCGTTTCCAAGGCAGCATCCGGGTAGACAGCCCCGACGCTGCCCTAAATCAACAATTACGCCAGCAATAAAAGCTGCTTTAGGTCTCACCTTGGTCGTATCACCGCTTCTGTCATTAATCGAAGACCAATTGCTACACCTGAAAGAGTTGGGCATTGAGGCGGCTACGATAAATGCCAACACTTCGAAAGAAGAGGTAGCCAGCGCATTTACTAATTCTTGATTTCTCTAGGTTAAAAGAATTGAAGATGCGATCACACGAAGAGATTCAACATTTCGGATCCTCTACGTTACACCTGAGAAGCTGGCAAAAAGCAAGCGGTTCATGAATAAGCTTGAGAAAAGCAATGAAATTGGATATATGAAGGTATAAAAATTATCATATTTTGTAGACAAATCATCATATTTATAGCTTATCGCGATCGACGAGGTCCATTGTTGTTCTCAATGGGGCCACGATTTTCGGCCAGACTACAAATTCCTCAACGTCCTCAAGCGACAATTCAAAGTAAAGTTTGTCTTAATTGACCTAATATTCGATTTTAGGATGTTCCAATCCTTGGTTTGACGGCGACAGCAACGGCAGCCGTTCTCGACGACGTGAAGAAAATGCTCGGAATTCCCGGTTTGTTTTGTTGGCTTATCTCGAATTATTCTCTCCTTCAGCTGCCCTCGTCTTCCGGTCCAGCTTCAATCGGCCAAATCTGAAATACGAGGTCTTCCCGAAAACCGTGGATGGCGTCATGGTGCTCGCTAAGCTGATTAAGGACCGATTTGATGGACAGTCGGGAATTGTCTACTGTTTTTCGCGGAAAGACACCGAGGAGACAGCCGATTCGCTACGGTTTTTGCAGCTTTTCGAGATTACTGGTGATGCTTTCAGGAAATCGGGGCTGAGGGCGTTCTGCTATCATGCCTATATGGAAGATCACGATAGGAAAACGGTTCATCAGCGCTGGGTTGCCGGAAACGTACAGATCATTGTCGCCACAGTGGCTTTTGGTATTGCATTTTACAGCCTCTTGAAAATTCTCTTTTTTTTAGGAATGGGAATCGATAAACCGGATGTGCGTTTTGTAATCCACTACACCTTGCCGAAATCTATCGAAAATTACTATCAGGTAATTGTTAGAGTTTTGGTCTAGAATTTTTTAGGAGAGTGGACGAGCAGGCAGAGATGGGCAACCGGCCACTTGTATTCTTTTCTGGCGTATTCAGGTTAGAATAGCACCTGAAAGCGCATTCTCGTTCAGGACATGTTCAAACAAAGCACATCTGTCTCGGCCGAACGTGGCGGCGTTCAGAATCTCTACTCCGTTGTGGATTATGCGACTGGTGTAAGTTCGCTTCGCCAAGCTAATCAGTTTTTCCAGGCATCTGATTGCCGTCGAATAGCTCTATCCAGTCATTTTGAGGAGCCATGGGAGACGGATTGGTGTGGAAAGTATGATCTAACATTATTTCTGAAATTTTGGTCTAGAAAATGTGACATATGTTGCGGCGAGCAAGAGGCTGAAGAAGTGGATGGATACGAGATCCTAGAAAACGCGGTGGCTATTATGAAAAAGGTATAACAATTCTAGGTTGGATTATGTAAAAAATAATTTAGGAAAAGGACAATCCGAAGAAGAGCAGCAACGGCAAGTTGACCGGAAAAATGCTGGTCGATATGCTTGTACGTGACAACGGCCAAAAGCAGATACTCATCGAGTGCGTGCTGGCCAGGCTTCTCGTCCTGGGATACCTGGCGGTAACTGCGTCTTGACCTCCTTCAACTCGTCGAATCTAGGAAGATTTTCACTACACCGCTTACTCCGTCATCAGCTACATGGAAGCCGGCCCCAAGTACAAGCAGCTTACGGCCAAGACATTGCCGCTGAAGATCAGCAAAGCGCTACCGGGCACAAACAGTCGGGTGAGTTTTTTCAAACCTCTTCAAGACACATTGTTTTTTCAGAAACGGCCACTAGCTGAATGAGGAAGATGTACGCTGTAATTTGTTCATTTTTGTTTGTGATTTTGGCGCTATTGCGGTTTGCTGGCCCCACTTATATCGGGCCAAGACCGAATGTTTCCGGGCTAGTTTTTTGCGCTGATTATGAATTTACTGGTTCACGGCACTCGCCCAAAAGGCAGTTGGTGTCATAAAGTTGATAAATAATGACCAGAAACTAATTTCTCGCACAGAAGTAGGCTTGTAGCATTGTCAGGCAAGGTGGGCCGTCGCTTCGGATGGGCTGCCGCTCCACTCTTCCGAAATCGGGGCGTCTGGCCGCTACGCGCGCCTCGGGCGCCCCGGATTCGAAACCCTGTACGAGCTCGCACCCATCCGAAGCGACTAGGCCCCCGGTGGCACGAAGCCTTATTTTTAGGTAAAAACGGTTGCAATGAACTAATTTTCTTGGAAATAGTTGTTCCACAAGTCTACAGGTCTCAATTCAAAAACCTAGTTTACCCCTGCAAATCCGAACCTAAAAAAATGAAATTTAGTTATTTTTTCTGGAAAACAAAACTTTCGCGATTCGGGATGATGTTTTTCGTAATCAGCGCAAGAAACTAGCCCGGAAACATTCGGTCTTGGCCCGATATAAGTGGGGCCAGCAAACCGCAATAGCGCCGTGATTTTTAACTCAAAGAGTTCTTGTTTCTGTTGAATTTCTCGTTGTTGTATTGATCGGGTCAAATTACGAGGTCACCCTATAGCCACCATGGCTACCGTCTCCAGATGTTCGCAATAAATTTTTCTTTTCTTCGGCTCCCGATTTTTCCAGGTTTCGGCTTTCCGTTCAATATCTTCCATTTTTTTGCGCTCTCCATTTTTCGACCTGTTGACGAGCCCCCTATAAAGATTCGCCTGCTTTTTCAAAAACTGTAGCCAAAATTCCGGATTCAGGCGACTCTTTATAGCCCCCGCACTCCTCAATCGGTCGCTTTAGACTTGGATGCGCCAAGTAAATTCGCTTCTTTTGAAGCCTCACTTGGCGGTGCGGCTGCGCAATCTGTCGCTTCGGGCTTGTTCGAGTCCCGCTGGCCTAAAAACCCCTTGCCGAGCAACACGGACGGTTTCCAGCCTTCCGTCAACCCAACCCTTCTTACGACCCCTTGTGACGATGGCTCCTGTCTGCCCAGCGCCGAGTGGAGAGCGTTACGAGCGTCTGCCCGACTACGCCAAGCCGGCTCACTATGTTTTGCGTTTGGAGCCTGACTTTGAATCGTGGGTTTTGGATCCCTTCCCTACTCTCTTTTAGATTCACCTTCAAAGGACGCGCTGAAATCGACGTCGAGATCTTGAAGCCGACGACAAAGCTGAAGCTGCATGCGAAAGCGTTGAACATTGGCGCAATCGCGCTGCATCTGGCCAACGGACAAGGTTTTGTCTTGCTTTTTGTCCCCATGTTTTTTATAGAATTCCGTGATCTGCAGCACACCTACTCTGATACGGCCCAGGTTGTCGAGATCACATTACCTGTCGAAATCGCTCCTCAGAAAACGAAGCTCTCTATTGACGTTGGTTGAAGATAGTTTTCTTCATTTGTTTCTTAGTACATTGGTGTCCACAACGACCACATGCAAGGCTTCTACCGCTCCAAGTACACGGCCGATGGCAAGGATCACTGGATGTTCAGCACGCAATTCGAAACCACTTACGCTCGCCAAGCGTTCCCCTGCTGGGACGAGCCCGTATTCAAGGCTACCTATGACGTGACCCTTGTCGTCGATGACGGGTTGACTGCACTCAGCAATGCTATGGTACCTTTCACCGAACCGATTTTTATTTTATTTCTAGGAAAAATCCAGCACTGTGGAAGGAAAGAAGCGCATTGTCAAGTTTGACACCAGCCCATTGATGAGCAGCTATTTGGTGGCGTTTGCTGTTGGGAAGTTCGAGTACTTGGAGGTACTTCTGCAGACACTTGCTCATTCATATCTTTTTAGGGGAAAACCCCGAAGGGCACCTTGGTGCGCATCTACACCGTCCCTGGCAAGAAGGAGTTCGGCCATTTTGCTCTTGAAGTAAGTTAGCCTCGGAATTTTCTTATTTTTGTTTTTCAGGTTTCCACGAAAGCCCTAGACTGGTACGGCGATTGGTTTGGCATCCCGTACATGATGCCGAAATGCGATCTCATTGCCATCCCTGACTACAGCATGGGTGCTATGGAGAACTGGGGGCTGATCACGTTCCGTGAGATCGCCCTCCTCTTCGATCCGGCCAAGACCTCGACCAAGCAGAAGACCTATGTCGCACTCGTCATTGCCCATGAACTGGCTCATCTGTGGTTTGGTGACTTGGTCACAATGGTAAGCTTATCGAAAATTATTTTCAAACTGTTTTTCAGAAATGGTGGACTGATCTCTGGCTCAAGGAGGGTTTCGCTTCCTTCATGGAATATCTTTTCGTCGGCTACAACTACCCAGAGATGAAGATTTGGCTTCACTTCCTGAACGACGAACTCTCGTCTGGCTTTGACCTCGATTCTCTAAAGAATTCTCACCCAATCGAGGTATTGAAAATTTGTTGATGCCATTTTAAAGGGATGCCGACGGCATAGTCAATCGGTTACGCGCTGGAAAGAAAATGGCTCTCGCCTCTCCCCGGGCGCGCCTCTGCCCTTTAGCTACTTGCCAATTTGTTGATGGGGGGATCGACACATGCCGTCGGCAGCCCTTTAACTTCGATTTTAGGTTCCCATCGAGAACCCGAACGAGCTTGATGAGATTTACGACTCAATCACTTACGCCAAGTCCAACTCGATCAACCGGATGTTGTGCTTCTACCTGGGAGAGGAGAAATTCAAGGCGAGTTTGCGCTCTCAGATCGTTATAAATTCTTTCTAGCAAGGCCTGCGCAACTACCTCCAGAAATTCAAGTATGCCAACGCTGAAACCAAGGATCTGTGGGCCGCGCTTTCCGAGGCTAGCGGACAGGTAAAACTTTTTGGAAGAATTTACAATACTGTCTTCAGGACGTCGCAGCTCTGATGTCCGGGTGGACCAGTCAAATGGGATTCCCGGTGGTTTCCGTTAACCAGCTGACCCAAGAGAATGGAAAACGCGTGCTAGCTTTTGAACAGAAACGTTTCCTCGCTGATGGCTCTGAAGATCCGGCCGCTTCTTTGTGGAAGGTATAGATATTTTCCTTCGTTTTCAGGCCCATCGTTTAGGTCCCAATTACTCTATCACGATCCGGCCAACCTGATGAGCCTTTCCACCGGTTTGTGCTCTCCGAGAAGCGTCAAGAAGAGACGGTCACGATCCCCGACTTGGAGTGGCTGAAGGTATTTTTTACGAGCTTTGCTTCTAGCCAATACCTTTAGGTTAACCAAGGCACTACTGGCTTCTACCGTGTGCGTTATGATGAGCATCTCCTTCATCCACTCGTCACGGCTACCGGAAACAGCCAGCTTCCCGTCCTCGATCGATTCGGGCTCGGAAATGATCTTTTCGCATTGGTAAAACAGCACGTAAGATTTAACTCTTTTTAGTTGTTCGCCAACCAAGTTACTGTCGATCAAGCGCTCTCTTTCCTCGAGATGTCGCGCAATGAGACGGAATATGCGGTGTGGCGCAGTTTGGACATGGGCATCGCCCGCCTCGGCGGAATGGTAGATTATGCCGACGAGAACGGTTCATTGAAGAAAAGGTGCGGCGTTCTGCTTAAAATTTTACAAAGTACTCAGGTTCGACCGCTACCTGATCGACACCTTGAGAAACACTGCTGATCGACTTGGGTGGACGTACACCGATGGTGAAGACAGCCAGGTGTGATTTTTGGTAAATTCCTTCAACTCGTTCAGGTCGGCTTGCTCCGTGGGCTGATCATCGGGCGCATCTGCCGGGCTGGTGACGAGAAGTACAACGCCAAGGCCTTGGTATCATGGGAAACCAGCTTCTAAAATAGTTTTATAGGAACTCTTCCACAAATACATCGATTCAAACGTTCCACTTCACGCAGATCTTCGCGGACCGGTCTTCGGAGCTGCGATTCGCGCCGGTGGTGATAAGGTATTTTTTGTTACTTTTGCCCTATAGTTTATCATTTTATAGGAGTTCCAACTGCTTCGCTCCCACTACGAGACTTGCGGCTTCCCGGAAGTGGAACGAACTGCCCTTGTCGCTTTAGGGCAGACGTGCGCCAAGTCGGGTCGACTTGAGACGCTGTTCGACTATGCCATCACGCAGGGCAAAGTTCGCACTCAAGATCTGCATTCGTTGTTCATGGGGCCTGCCTGCACGCGCTCTGGGCAACAATGGGTCTGGGACTATTTCAAGTAAACAGATTTTTCTAAACATGAAACCGAATTTAGGAAGAACTTGAACCAGCTAACCGAGAAATATGGCGGCGTTCAGACGATGCTCTTCCAACGCTGCTTCAAGGTAAAATCGGTTTTTATGTCTGGTTACATCCGTTTAGTTCGCCGCGGAAGAGGCTTGCAGTGAAGCCATTGCCAAGGAAGTCGATGAATTCTTCTGCGGCAAAGTAGACCCCTCATCACTGAAGACCTTGGATCGTCCTATCAAGCAGGTAAGAGGGTTTTCTATTTCCAGCAACGCCTCTTCTAGGTCTCCGAGCGCATCCGCAACAACGTGAAGCTTCTAAAGGAGGCCGGGCCCCAGCTGGACGCCTACCTGAAGAGCAAGGGCTATTGATGACTTGCATTTTCAGATCTGTGAATCTTTTCCCGGTTTTTTTATGTGGCTGTTGTTGCTTACATAAACGTGATCTTAATTTATCGTCTTTTTGAATAAAGTTATTCGTACCAAGAATACGTTGTTTGTATGCGCACGTTGTTCGAACCCCGCGAATTATTCGAAATGACAAGATTTGCCTTAGAAATGACAGATTAGTGTCTGAGAGTTGGTACATTAGCGATTTTCGGAAGTTTACTCGAATCAGTGTGGGTATTGATTTTCTACATTAGTTGGGGGCGTCAGGCAACAAAAAGTAATAAGAAGCGACTTGTAATATGTAAATCC